TTCTTTGTTATTTTCTTACTTCTGTTAACTCTGGGCTAAGTTTATTTTCTAACTCCTTCAGGTAAAAATTATGTGATTTACTTGAAATAATTTTTTCTTTTTTAATGTTGGCATACATCGCCATGAACTGCCCTCTTACTAGTGCTTTTGTTTCATCTGTAGGTTTTAGTATTTTGGTTGGTTGTTGTTTTCACTTGTCATCGGGTATTTTTTAATATCATATTTTCTTATATCCAATGATTGTTCAATAGCATGTTGTTTAATTTCCACTTATTTGTGAATTTTCTAGTTTTCCTTACATTATTAATTTTTAGATTCATTCTGTTGTGTTCAGAAAATATATTTGGTATGATTTCAATTTTATTAAAATTGTTGGACATATTTTGTAGCCAAACGTGCTATATCTGGAAAAAGATCCATGTGTGCTTGAGAAGAATGTATTCTGCTGCTGTTGGGTAGAGTGTTCTGTGTATGTATGTTAGAATTATTTGGTCTATAGTGTTATTCAAGTCCTCTGTTTCCTCATTAGTCTTTCTTTAGGATGTTCTGTTCTTTAAAGTGGAGTATTGAAGTTTCCTCTTATTGGTGTTTCTATTTTTCTCTTCAGTTTTATATATTTAGGTGCTCTGATATTGGGTAAATAAATACTTATAATTTGTATCTTCTTAGTGTATTGACCTTTGAATCACTGTAAAACCTCTTTCTTTGTCTCTTGTGAAAGTTTTTATCTAAAGTCTATCTTATCTGATATAATGATAGAAACCTCTGTCCTCTTTTGGTACCATTTGCATGAAATATCGTTTTTGATCCCTTCACTTTCAGTGTATGTGTGGTCTTAATTCTAAAATGAGTTTCTTATAGACTTTGTAGTTGGCTCTTACTTTGTTATCCATTCACCTGTTTCTTTTGATTAGGGAGTTTAATATATTTACATTTAAAGCAATTATTGATAGGGAAGTATTTACTATTGCCATCTTTTTTGTTTTCTGTTAGTCTTGTATTTCTGCTGTTTGTCTTTTCTTCTATAGCATGGTTCCATTGTGTTTTTTGATTGTTTGTATTGTGTTCTCATTCCTTTCCCTTATTTTTGTGATATGTGTAACATGTATATGTATATGTATATGTGTGTACATGTGTATTATATATATGGTTACCATGAAGCTTACATAAAATATCTCTAATTACAGCAGTCTACTTTAAGCTGATCACTTTAATTTCCATCACTTACAAAAACTACGTTTTAACTTCTTCTACCCATACTTTACTTTTTGATGCCACAATTTGCATCTATTGATTCTGTGTATCTTTTGACAGATGTTTTAGTTATATGTTTTAAAACCTTTATCTTTTAACTATTTTACTTAAAAAGTGATTTATCCACAACCATTACAGTAAAACAGTATTTTTATTTGTATATATATTTACCTTTACCAATGAGTTTTATATTTTCTTATTCTATAATGTTTCTGTTTAGTGTCTTTTCATATCAACTTGAAGAAGCACTCCCTCTAGCATTTATAGTAAGGCAGATTGAGTGGTGATAAATTCCCTCACCTTTTTTTTGGTCTAAGTCTTTATCTCTCCTGCATTAAAAAAAAAAAAAAATAGTTTTGCCTTATATGGTATTCTTGTTTGGCAGTTTTTGTTCTTCTTTCAGGAATTTAAATATATCATCACATTCCCTTCTGACCTGCAAGGTTTCTCCTTAAAGGAGAGAATCTGCCAATAGTCTTATGTGGTTGACATTATATGTCACTATTCTGTTGATGCTTTCCAAATTCTCTTTTTTGTAAACTTTTGGCAATTTGATTAAAATGTGCCTGGTGTGGATTTCTTTGGGTTTATCTTATTTAATATCTTTGGGCTTTTTGAATCTAGATATTAATTTTATTCTGCATATTTGAGAAGTTTTAAGCTATTATTTACTTGAATAAACTTCCTGGTCTTTTTCCTTCTTCTGTGACTCCCATAATGTGTTAATTGGCCCAGTTGGTGGTATTTTATAAGTTCTTATACTGCTTTTATTCCTTTTTATTCATTTTTCTTTTTGATTCTCTGACCGAACTATTTCCAGTAACCTTTCGGTTGATCAGTCTCTCTCTCTGCTTGATTTAGTCTGCCTTTGAAGCCCTATCTTAGTCCACTTGTGTCATTATAACAGAATACCTGGGACTAAGAAATTTATGAAGAAAAGAAGTTTATTTGGCTCTCAATTCTGGGGCAGCCTCATTTGGTTTTGGCCTCAAACTGCTTCCATTTATGGTAGAAAGCAGAAGAGTCAGGTACATGCAAATAGATTATAGGGTGAGAGAGAATGAATTAGAGAGGAAGAGAAGGTGCCAGGCTCTTTGAAACAACCAGCTCTCATGGAAACTAATAGAGCAAAATTCACTCACCCCACCAAAAGAGAGGACATTAGTCTGTTCATGAGGGATCTGCCCCCATGAACCAAACATGTCCCACTAGGCTTCATCTTCTGAACTGCCACATTGGGGATCAAACTTCAGAATGAGTTTTGGTATGGGCTAACAATATTCAAACCATAGTAATCCCCAACTGAATCTTTGAATTCTGTTATTGTAGTATTTAGCTGCATGATTTCTCTTTGGTGCTTTTTAAAGATTTTTATTCTTTTGTTGAAATTCTCACTTTGTTCATGCATTGTTCTCTTGAACTCAGTATCTTAATTAGAGTTATTTTTAATTCTATGTCAGGTAAGTCATATAACTGCATTTCATTAGGGTCAGTTTGTGAAGATTTATTATATTCTTTGTTTGAAATATCCTTGCCCAATTCTTCATTTTACTTGACTTGCTATTTTGGTATCTGTGCATTGGAAAAAGCTCTGGGGTAGGAGATTTGACAAGAGTGTGCTCCCAACCTCCCTACCATCTTTGGTGAGTCTGGTTTGCACCCTCCCAGGGCACAGGAGCCTTTATATTAGTTTCTTATTTCTCATATAGGAAATATTTAAGTGGAATGTTCTTGAGTTGGTATGCTTGTGGGGGGAAGGAGGGTTCATAGTTTCTTATCTCACCATCTTGCTGACCAGAATTCCACCCATTATTTATTTGAATACTACTTCAACCCCAAGTTCATTCTCTTCTTTTTCTAACATTATTATATACGTATTTTAGATCTTTTGTTATTGTTCTACAAGTCCTTGAGGATGTGTGCATTTTTTCAGTTTGTTTTTCTCAATTTTGCAGATCAGGTAAATTATAATAGTCTCTCTTCAACTTTAATGGCTCTATCCTCCACCATCTGCACTCAACTATAGAGCTGATTCACTGTTCTGTTTATTAGATTTTTCAGTTCTAATATTTGATTTTTTTGATGCCTTCTATTTCTTTGCTGAGATTTTCTGTTCTTTCATTTATTTCAAGGCGATTTATATTATATCCATTGATACACTTTTTAAAATTATGGCTGCTTTCAAATCTTTGTTTGACAGATCCAACATGTTACTCATCTCAATATTGGCATCAGCTATTTTTTTTTTCTTATTTTTGTTGTGATTTTCCTGGTCCTTGGTATAATGAATGATTTTGATTTTATTATTAATATTTAGACAAGAAGATTCTTGAACTTATTTAAATCTTTTATTTTAGAAGGCAGGCACCCATTTTTAAGTTTAGATTTAGTGTTGTCTTTTGTTCCAACTACAATTTAGTTCCAACTACAATTTAATGACTTTCAACATTATTGCATTATATATTAAGAATGTGCTATGCTTAATCTCTGGGTCTGCTGGAGCTCCTGCTGCATCTTAGGTTGTTCGGCTATAGGTTGTTCAGCAATAACATGTTTCTGGGCCAGGTGGTATTACCGGATGGGGATGGCTGATAAAAGACTCATGGAATGGAGAGCATTTTCCCTGGCTGTTCTTCAGCTACTGGATGTCATTGTGCTTCACTATATCTCTGATGGTACTTCTGGGTGTAAACAGATTCTATTTGGGCCATCTTTTGCTTCTCGGAGCACTGGCCAGCATCATGAAGGTCACCTTCTTCCCTTGGGTGTGCAGCCAGGAGCTGCCGAGTCTGAATTGCCTTCTATTTCTGGGTAGAGGATTGAGAAGTGCTTTCTACCTCTTCGTGAAGGGTCACACTTAAAGGTTCTGTTGGCACCAGTGCAGATGCAGGTGGCTGCTGCTGTTGCTTGATGCAGAGCAAGATGTGGATCTCCCTGGTTAGATTTCACTTGCCCTGATGTTGTGTGGGCTTCAGGCACTTTGCTGTCAGTGAGTATTGCATGTGGGGTGGGTTGACGCACCCAGGCTCTGCTGACTGCCACTGGGGATAAATCTGTTCTGCCAAATGACCACTGATGGCCTTGTAAGTCTGGGATCTAATGACCTATAGATACATCCATAGGAAAGAATTTGATGCCACTAAACTTTTCATAAAATAGGATTAACAGAGAAAAAGGTCTGTTTCTCAATATCACTAGAATTTAAAGGACAGAAAAGGAAAATTTCCTGAAAGAACAGTAGGGGAGAACTGGGAAAGACTAAGTGCAAAAGTTAATAGGGAGGAGAATTTGAAATAAGGACAGTAAGTTATCTCTAAGGTGAACTAAAGAGAAATCAAGATTAGAAAATGTCAGTTAAGATATTTTTGAGTAACCTAGAAAAAACAAGTGAAATGTCCAGAGTTAACAGTCAAATGAATACTGTCAGTTACATCAAGTTAGCAGTTACAGACGATACACTCAGAAAATGTGGCTGAGAAAGAAAAGATGCAGATAAGAAAGTTGTCAAAAATTTAGAATTATGAAAAGAATTATTTGGGGGAGGATGGCAGTAATGGTTACTCACAGGCAGAAAAACGTTTAGAGGAAGATAATGCAGATAGATAACAAGGAAATCGTATATCTGACAAATAATGTTATGATAGCGTCTAAATCTGAATATTTGATGATATCTAGGAAGTAAGGATAAAACGAATACATTTACTTACAAATCATTCATGAATGTATCTTTCTATACTTCCTTTTAGGGTCATTGCTTTTATCAAGGATATGCTGCAGAAATTCCAAAATCAATTGTGACACTAAACATTTGCTCTGGACTCAGGTAATGGCATTTTCCAGAGACATACACAGTTAAAGACACTGTGTGCGCCCTTACTTTTCAGAAACCTCTTGAAGGGTAGAATGAAGAACAAAAAATTAGACTGTGTTTCTTCTCATATATTTTCTTTTTGTTCTTCTCTTTCTCTTATCATTTCTCCTATCCTTTGTCCCTATCCCAGGTTTGCAGTTATAAAATTTGTGCAGAATAAGCTTCAGTCCCCATAAAGAGTACTCACATTTTTAGCCACACTGCAAATGCTTAATACACAGAAGAGGGGAATTAAGTTGAATTTGAAAGTTAATCTGAGTAAGATGGGATGATTCTTAGAAATTAGACTACAAAGACCACTGTAAAATTTATATGAAATATTTTTATTTAGTAGTGATTTACATTTTTCAGTGGGAAATATATACTAATTATATTTTTATCTCTTTTTTATATTTGAATATTTAGAGGATTGTTGCAGTTTGAGAGTATCAGTTATGGAATTGAACCATTGGAAACTTCATCAACATATGAGCATATGCTTTATCAAATAAAGGATAATAAAATCAATCATTCCCTCTTACAAGAAAATTATCCTATGACTCAGTACGCAGATCAGTCCGACAGGATTCTTGTCAGATCAGAAGTGAGTTCTCCCTTTTATGATATCTTCATTTGTGTTTACTTTTATAAACTTATTCACTTTGAAATTTTGAGATTTGATACATTTGGAAAGCAAATATAAATTGATATTCATTATATAAAAAGTTTCTATTGTAGTGTATTTGTTTTAAATATTTTTCTTATTCAAATAATATTTAGAAAATCTAATAGATATAGAAATGCATAATTTAAAAATCATCAAAGTTTTTACAGTGTTTTTCAAGTTGCAAGAATTTTTATGCAAGTATACGTAGTTGCTTTTCACTGAATTTGCATCCTACTAATAAAACGATTCTCAAATTTTCTCATTATTACTTTGTAAGCATTTTCTTTTCCAGTACATTTTCTTTGTTTAGAAAACCTCATTGTCCAGAAATAGTGCTCTTAGAATTTTGGAGCATTTGTTCTAATTGCCTTAATATGCCTAATTATAAATGTATATGTATAAAGGCATAGTTTTTTTAAACAAAAAATGATTTAGCGATACACATTTCTTTGAAGTTTCCACTTTGCTCCTAAGAGGATAATGCACATTTTACATATTATTAAATTTAGTTACATTTATTATTTTTAAATTAAATAACATTGGTTAATATATATATTAAAATATTAAATATATACATATATAAGGAAAAAGTAACCATTTTCTAAAGCAAAATGTATTGCAGAATGCCCTGCTGTCATTTTGATATATATATTCTTTTATACTGTTTCCTACATATTAACCTTAGTTCATACATTTTATCAAATTATATCATATTTTATATATTTATATGTTTTTAAATAGATAAACTGCATGAATGTACCAGATTTATGAGCAATCACACTTTTCTTATAAATAATTGCATCTAACAGTGGGGCATATTTCCAAAGGTTTTTGATGTATATTAATTTCTCCCTTTTGAATATTTGTACAACTTTACATTTGATCATCAGTGTTAAATAAATAAATTTCTGTTCACACATTCTCATCAATACTGGATCTCACATTCAAAGGAAGTAAAACAAAATAAAAATGAATAAAACTTGAAGTTAATATATGACAAACTCCATCTCATTGTTTCTTTACTTTGCTATTATTTGTTTTGGCTAAAATACTGGTCTGAGTACAGGTCAACAAAACTGCCCTTTCAGAAACACAAAAAAGGTAAAATACAATCATATATAGAAACGAAGCTTCATTTTCAGTGGAACTAAGAAGTAATCCCGAACTTCATTCTAGCTCCCTGGGAACCATCTGTGTGCTGTCATCACAACTGGACCCAGGTGAAGACTGACCACGAGTGAAGGTGACACTATCACAGAAAGCAAATTGCAAACCCTTTGAAGGATTCCATGAGTGCTCATCTGTGGCAGGAAAAAATGTGAAAGAGTGAACGTGCTTTGGGAAAGACAAATGATACCTCCCTTGCAGTCACCCCCCACTGTGATGCATTGAAAGACACACAAACAGCTTACATTTTACACTCCCTGGGTCTGAATTCCAGGTCTTTCAGTCAGTGTTCACAAGAACTTCGGTAACGTAACCTTTCAAAGTGTTTATATTTCCTCATGTATAAAAACACAATAATAAAATTAATACCCATCTCACAATTATTTAAAACATTAAATAACTGTATATATAAAAATTACTTAGCATATAGTATGTGGAGAAATAAATCTATAAATATCACTACTAAAAATATCAATATTTTCTAATGTAGTGGAGCAAGGTCATCAGACACAATTATGGGGGACCTTCCCAAGACGGCCAACTAGAGAGGTCTGATGCTAGTCTCCTCGCTGTAAATAGAGACCAAAACAATGGACAAACATATTTTGATAAATATGAAAAACTGAGGAAAAATCTTGCAGAGTATCAGGAGAGTGATGAGATCCTTGTGAAGTGTGGAAGAAGGGAGCTTCACCATAGAGAACAGAGCAGGGCACCCAACTTTCACCCCACCACAGGGACCATCCTGGAACTAGGCAGAGAAAAGGTAAGCTAAAAAAGAACCCAGATGTTCCCACCACCGCTACAAATGCCAGTGAGCCCTGCCTCAAAAGAAATCCTTTCAGGACCCAGGACCATTTGGAGAGTAGCTAAGAGTTAGTATAGCTACAGTCTCATAGTGGAAAATGAAAGAGATTAAACCCCTTCCACCCTGAACAGCTGAGACACAAAACCACCTGGGAGCCAAAACTGCAGTGGGAGTGCAACCTGTCCCAGACCCAGCAAGTCTGACTCCCTTTGTCCGGAGGTCCTGCCTGCATTTGACTGTGCTCACTGTGGCAGGAGTGCACCCAGCCCTGGACCCAGCAAGACTGACTCCCTTTGTCCGGAGGTCCTGCCTGCATTTGACTGTGCTCACCATGGCAGGAGTGCACCCAGCCCTGGACCCAGCAAGACTGACTCCCTTTGTCCGGAGGTCCTGCCTGCATTTGACTGTGCTCACCATGGCAGGAGTGCACCCAGCCCTGGACCCAGCAAGACTGACTCCCTTTGTCCGGAGGTCCTGCCTGCATTTGATTTGCTCACACAGAGACCAGCAGGACCAAGGCCCAGGTTGCCTGGAGCCTAAGACAGACAGAAAGACGGACCCCAGCATCTGAACCCACAAGGCACACTCCCCCAGGTGAGCAGGCAGTCTTGTTCAGTGAAAAGTCACCACAACCTGCACAATTCTTGGTCCTGCTGAGTCCACAGGTGCCCACACTGATAGCCAGGCCAGCTTTGGTCCTTCCTCCCCAACAGCCCTCCACAGCTCTAGGGAGCTGTTAGGTCATGTGGCATCTGTGCAGGTTTGCTTCAGACTCAACAGCTAATCCAGTGGCTTTCTGTACAGTGGCCAGGGCCTGCTGAAACAGTGTACATCTGCCTTCTGGCCAACAATGGACCAGGCAGGGGTTTTGACACCTCACGGAAGCCCTCACCGTGCTGCTGGCCTCAGCTGCACCCTTGCAGGCTTGCATCAGGCTCAACAGCTAAACAAGCAGCCGCCTACAGGGTGGCCAGGCCCTACTGCAGCTGTGTATACCTAACCCCAGACAAACAGCTGGTTGGGAAACAGCTTTTCCTCCCCACAGCATGCTTCCAGAAAGCCACTGGGTCCTGCAGCATCCATGCAGGCTTGCTCCAGACTCAACAGCTGAAACAGTGGCCCTCTACAGAGCCGTCAGGACCTGTTCCAACAGTGAACACCTGCTCATTGACCAACAGCAGATTGCCCACCCCAATAAAAAACCCATCCAAACAAGAAACTGCCAAGGGCCTCATTTCCTAGGCTCCAAGGGCACCCACAGACAAATCTGAGATTGAATATAGTTGAAGAAGCTGCACAAAGTCTGCACTACTGCACTCATCCAGATCCAAACTTAAAATGCCCAACCCAACTAACAATATAGAATAGACTTACAGGAGTTTCCCCCTTCAAAAGTCACTCCTAGAATTAAAACAAGTGACTACACCACCAGATGCCCGGACTTCAATGCAGAGACACGAGAAGCATGAAAAATACAGGGAAACATGTCTACCCCAAAAGAAGGCTACAATTCTCCAATACTAGATCCTACACAACAGGAAATAGATGAATTGCCTGAAGAGGAATCCCAAAGGGCAATACAAAAACTCAAAATGATGAGTGAAAAGATAGAAATTATAATGAAGTCAAAAAGATATTTGAGGACATGTATGAGAAATTCAACAAAGAGATAAAAACAATTAAAAAAATTAAGCAGAAATTCTGGAACTGAATAGTTTCATTCAATGAAATAAGAAATACAACTGAGAGCATAAGCAGTAGGCTGGAATAAGCAGGAAAAAAAATCTCCAAAGTAGAAGACAGGCTTTTTGAATTAACACAGTTGGATCAACAAAAGAAAAAGAAAAAATAATTTAAAAAAATGAAGAAAATTTATGAAATCTTTCTGATAACCTTAAGTGTACAAACATCCATATTGTGGGTGTACTAGAAGGGAAAGTGAAAGGCAAAAGCATTGAAAGCCCGTTTAATGAAATAATAGCTGAAAACTTCCCAAATATTGGGAGAGAGACAGTCTTACAGATCCAAGAACCGTAAAGATCCCCAAACAGATTCAGCCCAAAAAAGACCTCCCTGAGACACACTGTAGTCAAATGATCAAAAGTCAAAGACAAAGAAATATTTCTAAAAACAGCAAAATGTGGTATATATACACCATGGAATACTACTCTGCCACAAGAAAGAATGAAATTCTGCCATTTGCAGCAACTGGATGAACTTGGAGGCAGTTATGCTAAGTGAAATTAGCCAGGGACAGGCACAGAAATAGAAATTCTGCATGTCCCCACCAGAAAATGGGAGGAAAGGAGGGGGGGAGAGGGAGAGAGAAAGAAGGAACCACAAGAATACATCAAACTTTGACAAGGAAGGAACAGATCTATGGTCAGCAGAGGAGGGGTTAAGGAGAAATTGGGCAATGGACACAAGAATAATTACAGTTTATAATGATGAACACGCTAGTAATACTGATTTAATCATCATATATTGTACACAAATACTTATAGCCAACTTGATACCCCATGAATATGTATAATCATGTTTCAACTGTAAAAGAAATAAAATTAACAATGAATTACAAAAAAATATGAAAATTTGGTTACAAAACAAAATGCAATAATGAAATAAAATACTGAAAAAAATGTCAGGAACTGTGAAGAAACCAGGGGAGTCCCCGCAGTAGTGGAGATAACTGGGTACTGGTAGGTTTTGTGAATTTTGTGTCTTTCATAGGGGAACTCGATAACTGCTTTTCATCCTGAATTTGATAGGCATAAGTATATAGGCTTAATTAAGTATGTTTTTACATACACACGTGCTTTTATAAGCACAAATAAAGTCATCATTATCAATAACAGGTTTAAAAAAGAAACAGATAAAACAGAGTTCATGTTTTTAAGCATTTTTACATCTTTGTAAGTTAACACAAACAAACATTAAACAAAGTTTATAACTAGAGTTGAAAAATAGAACCAGAAACCAAATAAGATGCAATAAAGGGCTTATCTCTTAAAAGCATTTTGAACACATCCATTTACCCCTCCACCTTCCCTCAATCCACTAAAGGGAAAATAAGGGATTTATAAAATGGAATAAACTTTATACAATTATCATGGGTCAAGTAAGGAACAATAAATTAAAAAGAAAAAAAATTTTCAGAGACGGAAGTAGATTAGAAGTTATCAGAAACTGGGGGAAGGAGTAATGAGGAGCTATTGCTCGGTGGGTGCAGAGTTTATGTTTAGGCTGGAAATAGAGGTGGTGGCCACACAGCATTGCGAATGTAATTAATTCCTCACATTTGTATGTTTAAAAATGCTTTAAAAGGCAAACCTATGTTATATATATTTTACCACATTAAAAAAATAATAAAAATAATACATTTTAAAAACCCTTAGAATTAAGAAAAAAAATACAAAGACAAACAGAATAGTAGATGAGTCAAAATAATGCAATTCAAATAGAAGATAAATATATAGCTAATTTAGCCCCTAAAAAGCTGAGTCCTAAACTGGCAATGGTGGTTGGCTATATAGAAATTTTGGGGGATTTGCCTGTCCAAATACCTTAGCAAGTAGATATGAGAGTGAACCTAAAAGGAGAATTGGGTGAAAATATGTTGCACAAGCATTTATAAAGCCTTTTCTGCCCTAATCAACTGCCTTATTTGTAGACTGACAAAAGTAAAAGGTGATTTTCTTTGGGGAGTCTTGGAAATGGGGATGCTGGGCACAGATTGTCTCTCACATTTGAGGCTGCACGCCATCCTGAAACTTAGTGATTGAGGTAAACCAGGCACACTGGCGATTGGCTGCCAGGCTCACACCTTCTGAGAAGTCATGTTGGAAGTTCCCTCTCCAAGAGGAAATCGAAACAGCCAAATTGACAGTAGTTTCTCCAGCAAACAATATGGAAAAATTACTCTCTGTGAGGACCGCAGCCCGTAAAATCTATATGTTGTCATGAATGTTGGAATAAACTGTTTAAATGCTCGGTTCCTAATATGAAGAGGCACTAGTCACATA